TAATAGGTCATTAAACTTATCCAGATGTGCGCTTGTGTGTGTGTGTGGCTGAAGAAAAGCAAAGCGAAAGGCGTGCGAAGAAGTAGTTACAAAGTGAGAAAAAAGGAAAGTAAAAAGTTTTCTGGTGAAAAGAACCATTTTTGCAACAAGCACACATACATACAAACGCTCATACTTGCAGTTTAAACTTATTTAAGTAAGTATGCCTCTTTATTGGAAGGGCACAACAGACCATAGGTCGCGGTGCATACCTCATAATTAATCTATGCCTCTTTATTATATATTTTTCGAAGAATACCGATCTAAGAATTGGCAAATGTGAAGTAATAACAATTGCAATATAAATTAAATACCTAGAGTGAAGCATTAGGGTGGGTCGACTGCTGCTTTAGTTCTTCGTTTATATTTTTAAAATTTAAAAATACTTACAAAATACATTTACAATTCTTATTTAAGCACGGTTCATAATATAATTTCATACATGTCTATATTTTGATTGATGACTTGAATTTTTGCAGTATAAATTTTTAAAAACGTTTATTCAAGATTAATATATCAGAGTACAAAACTTGTGTGATTATGCTAAAAAAAGTATATTTCTGGAGCCATTTTGAAAGAAAAGTACTGAAATGTTTTTAAATTTTGAAGATATATTTATGGATGATAAATGAAAGTTGTTTATGTACATAAGAAAAATTATTTTTAAAAAAATTTCTCGTTTCCCAAGTTACTAATGACATTACTTAAACCACAGCACTGATTGGGGTCTTCAGCGCCTTTCGAAACAAACAAATATGGTTGATAAAATATTGCAATGTCCTACGATAAAAAAAAATCGAAATAGCTATAAAAAGAACCGTCGCACGTTGCTTAAAAATTAGAAAATTTTTGCTTTCCAAAATTATATTTTTCACACAATCGAAAAAGAGGTATGGGATTGTACAGAAAAACATAAAGAAAATAAATAGAATAAAAGTCAAAGCGATCGGATGATTCGCCTTCTTGTTACAACTGCAGCCAATTAGGAAAATATAGTTTTGAGTAAAACGCATTTAAAGACAAACTGAACTTGACAAATAAACTCAAAAAATATTTAATATTGTATATTCTTACAAAATTTAAATATACTATTTTTAAAGGTATAAACTATCAAAATATGCAAAACCCAAAAAATTATTGTTTTTTCGTAACTTCACACCCTTTAAGAGTGCAAGCACGCATTTATGAAGCAAGAAAACTGCCAAAGTTCAAAAATAGACAAAGCTATAGCAAAATTGTATTATTCATTATACAACTAGTCTGTTTATCATAGGTCTAGACTAGACCATTTGCTTGAGTTACATAACAAATGCCAAGTTCTTGTTTTTTCAACATATTTTCTTACTCATACAAAAATACTGTATTTGTAATTTTCGTTAGTTTTAACTCATGTTTTTCTTAACGTTATTTCAGTTCATATTTTATTTTAAATTATTTTAAATAAGTTATGTTTTATTAATATGTTTAAACATTTTATTTAGCAACATAATTTTACTTGTATTCATTCTTTTGGGAAAATGGGAAAATTATAATTTATTTTGGTTTATATAGTTAAAAACCATATTATTTATTGTACAATAATTCCTTAATTTTATTAAAATATTGTTTTTATACATATTTTTTTTCTTAAAAGCATTTTCTAACTATTTTTTTTCTTAACTGATTTTTTAATATAGCGAATCTCATTTTTTAAATTTTATTTTGAGCTAAAAGATTTTTATGTGATTTATTAAAGCATAGTTTTTAATTTTTACTTTTATTATATAATTTTCTTTTACATTTTTATTCATTTTCAATTCTATTTTAGTTTTATATTTTTCTTACATATTAGTTTGTTTTATTATAACAAATATTTTAAATTTTATCTTTGAATATCTTCATTATAATTCTTTTTCGTTAATTTGAATTTAAAATAATTAATATCAATATAAATTATAAATATTATTAAATTTATTATAATATTTTAATTTATTTCAATTCACTCTATCTTATTTTCTGTTATTAATTTCACAGTATTTCAATTCCATGTAATTTATTTAATTAAATTTAAAATTGGTTTTTTTTCATTAATCTTGAGTTATTTTAATTTGTTTTGGATTTTATCAAGTTTTATTACTATTACGATTTTTTTTTTGTTCAAATTCATTTAGTTTATTTTATTTGGTTTAATATAATACAATTTTAGTTTAGATTAGATTTAATTGCCTTTAATTTTTAATTTACTGTTATTTTCTCTTACTTTTACTCACTATCACTCAAAGTAACTGAATTATCTATTATTTTGTTTGGTTAAGAATATTTTATCCATTTTGTAATTAATTTTAGATTTTTTTGCTTTTCTTATTTTTGACAAAAAAATCCTGTTAACTTTATTACAATAAAAACTCTGTATATTAATTGAACGTCTTCAATAATTCGTTTACCTTTTTGGAATATCACTGCTTGCTGTCAGCAAATATCAGCAAAGTAATTTAAATTTCACCAAGTTGAACATTTTCACATAAAACTGCACAGCAATATAGTACCCAGTAACGCTGTCTATATTTCACTTTATCTTCAAACAAAGTAATACTATTTTCACAACAAGTATAACACTTATTCAAAAGAGTCGTGAAATATTTTTTTTATACAAAATTTCGTATTTGCGACCGCTATTTATTTAATTTTTTTAATATTTGCATTAAATTTGAAACATCAACAATTTCCGTAATATGTGCTGAAAAAGTTTTTGTTTCCAAATATATACACACACTTCATAAAATATCTTTATTTGTAAAAATTTTATCAAAATATATAATTTTCCACTTAATAGATTTAAACGTGCATAGTTTGCAATAACTTTCGTTTTTATTTTCCGAGTTACTTAAACGCACGAAAGGCTCATCAGTTTATATACACTTAATTTTTTTAAGCACAAAAACTTAGTTTCAACACTTATTAATCACAAAAAATTGTATAATGTTTATAAAAACTTGTATTCTTCGTACAGCGTAATGCAAATTTCACATGCGCAAAGCCAATAAACACTCTTAGTAAATTTTCATAAAAAATATGTTTATATATAAACTATTTAAAACACTTCTTCCGAACAAACTGTTTCAACATGCAAAGAAAATTACATTTTTCAGTCTAGAAAATTTTTCCTGCACTGTTGCACTAACAAATTTTAAGTCACATTAAGTTTTATTCATACAAGTGTCTGTATGTTTGCGTAAAGGCACTTTAATTCACATATCTAGCAAAATAATATTTGAGGCACTCTAAGTTACAGATATGTTTGTATGTATGCACGTCTGATGCTTTGCTTTGCTGCAGCAGCATTCATTACAAGTCACTCGCACTACTCGACGAGACGAGAAAACTTAAAATGTTTCCAAATCGTCCGATAAACGCGTCCACGACCGTCGCTAGTTGGAATTCGATTGCCACAACACCGAGTGACATAAACTGCAGCAACCAACTACTGCCCAAAAGCGACAGCAGCAGCAACACTAATAGCAGCAGCAGCTGCGGCAGCTACAGCTATGCCAAGACAGAGAACTTAAAACAATGAGAAGGTGCAAAATTCAATTTGCACCTTCTCATTGTTTTAAGTTCTCTGGCCAAGAGCAGCACAGTCGCCGAGCGGCAGCGAGTTGGCCGCCCAGCCAGCAGCGAAGTCACCGGCAGCAGAGTCGACAGTCGGCATCAAGCAGCAGCAGCAAACGCCGGCATCTCGTGCCACAAACGTGCACATAGCGCTTGCTTGTTTTAAGTTCTCTGGCTTGCCTTGTTCCACTACTGTGCGTGTGTGTGAGTTTGGGCACAAACGGCAACGGAACAGTGTAGCTCAGACATGGAATTTATCCCCTTGCAGAGAGAAGGTATATTTTTGATGTAAAAAGTTACTTAATTTTAGCTTAGATCTGACGGTTTTTAAATATATGTAAAAGGTGTATGTGTCTTTTGAACAAATAATAAAATAATAACAATAGTATAATTCTAAATTTCATCGCTACGGCAACCCTGTTTCACTTTTGTTTATTTACATTCCAAGCTGCAGCCACATATGCATATGTACTTACACACGAGTACATCTCTCACATAAATCAGAGCGTTTCCGTTGAGCGACTTGCGCTCAATATTTGCTCACTGTTAACGGTTGCTGTTAGGCTTAACATTTGTTTTCATTTTTTCGACCAGTTGCTTGCCATGCAGCACTGTTGTTGTTGTAGTTGCTGTTAACAGACTGAGTAGTCGGAATTAATGAATGGTGCGGTCAAATATTTATGGGCATGGCGCGTTAACTTCGGTAGAAGTTGTGTGTATATGAGTGTATTTATGGTATATAGTTATATGTGTAGCATTCGGTTGGATTTACTGTAGTTGTCTACTTGTTAATGATTGTTAATCATATCATTTAGCATTAAAGCGTGCAAATTGATGGGCGAAGATTGAGAGTATTTATGAATGAAAAGAAAAACCTATATATACCATATTTATACATATGTATATACAAATGTATTTACATAAAAAATTTAGAACTTAATTCAAAGATTTTCTTAGAGATGCATTTTATAATAAAAAAGTTGAGTATGATTGATATGTATGTATATGATTTATAAAACGACGTATCTATCTCAATTGGTTTTAGTTTAGTTGTTACGAAATTAAGGTTTTTATCCGAAATTCTGAGAACGATTTTCCTGAGGCCGCCAGTTTCGACCAGGACAATAAATTATCTATTTATAAAACTAATTTTTGCTATCCGATTTATTTTAGATGAGTCGCCAAGGATTACTGATGGTAACCACCAGCAGCTGCGGCTGGAACCGGATCAACACAAAGGGTTATTAATTTCTAATTTTTTTTTTCCAAATTTCTGTCAAGTCAGGTCGAAACCTAATTGTTGTCACTTTATAAAATAAAATTATTTATTGGCAACAAAATTATTAAAAATTCTAGTTTTTTCGTGACTCTGACAACACCTAACCCCTTAATTGATAACATTATTACCGCATTAATGCATTTTAGAGAATATTTTCATACACAAATTCTTAAAAGCTTTCAGTTTTGGTCTCGCTCGAATTAAGCACTTCCTTACTTTATTAATATAGTTTTTCTCATTTATATATGTTCTACAAAATTTTCTTACTTCCCTTTGGTTTAACTAGCGTTATCACAATTTTTATAATGACTCGAGCTTTTACTCTAACTTAATGTTCACTAATTTCTAAAATCTTGGTGCTGAAAACCAAAAATTATACAATATCAATTTAATATACAACTTTTCGAGTATATTACTGTCTATAAGATTCCTACACATACCAATTACTGTCTATTTTGGCCAGATTACCCAATCACAACAGCTGTTATGTCAATTATTTAACTTTAGTGTTGCGCTTAGGTCAGAATCCCAAACACATATCGAGTAGATTACTCACCACACCGACGGCATGCCGTTGCCGCAGCTCAGCAGCAATTTCGGCAAATTTGCATAGGAATTCCATTTCGAACGACTGCAAGCAGCCGAGATAGGAACAGACGAGTAAATCGCGGGCTTGCCGAATTAGAATCGAGCGTGTACACGCCTTATAGACAGGATAAATGGCGGCGAGGTGTTTGTCAATCAGCGCAGCGGTGCCCGAGTCCTACAACAACAGCGGATAACGGAAAGAAAGCAAAGAAAAATTATTAAGAAAAGCAGACTTGTGGTAATGAACAGACAATTGTGTGGAAAATTTATATAATATATTTTTTAGAAAAGTGTTGGAAGTGCAACAAAAGGTTCGTAAGTGCAATGGACGGTGAGTTGGGCAAGGTAAATGATGGTATTACTTACCATATGTATAGCGCAAGCTAATTGTTCCTCCTTGACAAGTGGCGGACAGCTGCTGCTGATATTCATGAGCGACTGTTGTTGCTGTGTTTGTTGTTGTAGCAATTTTCTTCTACCGCCATCAGCGGCAACGGTTGAGCACTTTAGCTTGCCAGTTTGCAGGCTGTCACTTTGTATCTGTTGTTGACATTTTTGTTGCATCTGTCTTGTCTCTTGTTCGACAGTTAAATCAGCCGAGTCATCAACTTGGACTTCAACTTCAGCGGCCGCCAAAGTGAGGGCGTCGCGCTTGTGCTTAGCAGAGGTCAACAGTGTCGGATGTTGTTGTTGTTGCTGGTCAGCACTGACATTCGAACTACCGCTGTCCATCAACACTGACGGTGACGGCGAACTGAAGTCAATATCATCGTAAGCCAACACCGATTGTTCGCTTGTTAAGTGCGCTTCTTTGTCTGGCCCCAATGACGCCTCCTCTCCCGCCGTGCGCTCTTCCTCCACGACCATCGCAATTGGTGAAAATAGCGTGTGCGCTACTGCGCCGCCCTGTCGGTCGGTTGTGGCAATTAATGTAGTGGTACACGCCTTATTCTCAACTTCCTCATACGCCCCCTCTGCCTCCTTTTCTTCATCCTTTTTTTCTTCGAGAGCGGAGAATTGCTGGGTGCTTGGGCTGCGCGCTGTACTCGACACCACAACGCCAATCGATTCTTGGCACTTTTCATCTTGCACATACGTTTTGCTGACGGTTGTTGTTGTTGCTGCTGTAGAATTCGTTGTATTTGCGACCGCCTGTTGATGCTGACCCGTCAGCCGATCCTTGCACCGCTTCAAGTATGTACGCACGCGCGATTTGCTGCGCTGCATTGGTTTCTCTGTTGTCGCCACTGTTGTTGTTGTAACTGAATTAATATTCAAATCGATATCGACTTGGCAACACTGTTCGTTGTCATTGACCAAACAGCAGCAACTTTCCCGTTGTTTTTCTGCCAACTCCACATCGGGGTCACCATCCTCCTCCCCGGAATACCAAACCTCCTCGGCGTCGTCTTCCTCTTGCGCAATTGGTGCAGTGGCAGCCGTACTTCGTACCCCGACCATTGTGTTGGCCTCGCTTGCAGTTGTTGCCGCATTTGCCGCATTGCCACAGTTCCAGCTGTTTATGCCGGCTTCATGGCTCTCATCAGTTGTGTTGGCGCGGCTCTTAGTGGCCTCCGCCACAGTTGGTCTTTCTATAACTGCTGCTGTTGTTGTTGCTGTAATCGCTTTTGTGTCATTCACCGGCATAACCAGCACCTCCGCCAAGTGTTCTTCGGCGTTGACGTTGTTGCAATTGTGTTTGCAATTATTTGTGCTGTTTGTTGTTGTTAATATTGCAACACTATGCTGTTCACCCTCAGGTGGCCTACTTGTACTATTGCCACTTATATTGCCACTTTGACCGTTATTTTGATTGTTGCTTGTGCTGTTGGCGTTGTTGTTGCTGGGCTGTGGACTCGCCTGAGGCGTCAAAAGAGAAAAGATAAAAAGGAAGACTTAGTAAAAGGTGAGTGTGATTATATATTGTGTACATCTGTTTATAATTGGTTGTTGATATTATTGTTGTTGTATATCAGCAATTATATCAAAGTTTTCTGGTTCACACTGTTGCTAGGCAAACACAAATTCATTCACAATTATTTAGGTGATAAGAAATTCTATAAAAATTGCATTCTGATAATAAAAATCTCGACAAATCCGTTTTTAAAATAAGTTCGGCAGTTTGGATCCCAAAGTACTTAGAACTTGATTCACAACGGTTCGACTTATTCTACCTAAAAGTGCGACGCAGAGAGGTCAAGGAAGAGAAAAATAATATTCACAATATTTCACAGATCAAAGATCAATGAGAATTCAGACCTTGAAAACACCTAAAGTACAAGTAGTAGTATTTGTATGAAAAAATATATATGTTTGAATCACGAAATCGCCGGTTTCTATTAAACTGTCTCTTTCTATCCATAGAACGTTATATTGATACATAAGGCAACCTATGACCATATACCGGTCTTCATAATGCCACGCGCCCTCTTTATGAATTCTAAAGTCACTTCCTGTCAAACTGAATGCTCTATTAAAGAAATAATACCTCGTGTCATATACTTGTGTATCATGAGAAGATAAACCACCACAAACCTCAAATATAACTTTCGTCTTCACTTCGAAAATTGTATTTCTTTGTTAAAATGAATTAGTATCAAATTTTTACAGGAACCCCCGAAAATAGCGTTAGACGGAAATAACATCTAGTTAAATATCTAATCCACAAATACTCGGTTCTCTAAAAATTGTCCGTTTTCGTTTCAAATATGATTTAATTAATGATTTGCAAACATTTGATTTAAGGAGGAAGACATTTTTATTTTATTTTTTGATATTCTGTACAATAACTCACTGTGTACATAGCCTAGTGTATGTTACTCATACGACCGCAGATCTTCAGGATTACAAACTTTCCTTTCCTCTTGCCTCTAATAATGTTAGTTCTAAACATAAGAGAAGTTTGAGAATAAAAGCTATAGAAATATGGAACGAAAAAACGTTAGAAAGGAAATAAAATAATAAAATAGAAGAATTTATCAGATCGGAGAGGCAAAATTTGTTGATCAGGCTGGAGGTATATCAACTAGTGTTAGATATAGTGTGCAATACTATTTTTCGTGCTGACAGAGAAACTATTTAGAGCTATTGGTTCATGACGAGGGCGAAAACAAATAATTATCAAAAAACTATCAATTTTGATAACTAATGACCAGTTTGAGATAATATTGAAAAATTATATATGTTTTTCCTTAAAATACTCTTATATAGTACTTTAGCAGATTCATATATAGTACTTTATTTACTCTACCATTCCACGACTCAAACAGTGCTTTTTGTGACTTAAAGGAGGAACCTCAACGTCACTCTCGCTCTCATTCATCTAGCTACTTGCTAGCCCTACACAGCAAAGGATGGCAATTTGCCCATAAGTCACCTTTTAATTTTTCTATTTCCCTGACATGCTTTTCTCCAGTTTGTGTGTTGCTTTTCACAGGCTAGCGTGCGGCGAATAAATGTAAATTTAAACATTTTGCTATTTACAGTTAAGTCAACAATGTCATGACTTATTATCAATATCTGATTAAGCAAGGTATGTATGGATGTGTGTGTGGAAATCAGAACTACAGCAATTATGCGTGTTTGTAGCTGTGTGGGTCCGAGCAAATGAGGACAAACATCGATCGCATATAAAGGGCTTGGTGAATTGGGCAGAAAAAAGAACAGGCATGGTATGGCAAGAACTTAGAAAAATACACATAAGTAAGTTTATTATATGCCACAACAGACAGTGTAAGGCATGCGAGCAGGTGGAGGGAATTTCAGAAAGCGAGCAAGTGGGGAGTGGTTAGTTAACAGAGTAAAGTCTAGGAAATATAATTTTTTATTGCAACAAAATTTAAAATAGATTGCGTGTTAGCGCTGAATGCAAACTGTGGAGTATCTTTGAAAAATGCAAATCATTTTGAATTTTCATAGCGTTTTTTTTATTCCTTCTAGTTTTTTTTTGGCTTTTTGTTTCTTGGCGAGAATTCTTACAAGGAATATTGTACTGTATAAAGTATTCGTTTTGTATTGGAAAGTGCAAAATATTTTGGCATGCAGCCGAAACTCAAGTTGACATAGGTCAAGTGTAGCATTCAATTTCAAACAGAAAAATAAACAATATTTTACTCAGAACTGTGGTTGGTTGACTTGACTTAAAGTTACTTGCAAGGGTGATTGTAGTTGAAGAGACAAAGTGAGTACGTTGATTTTAGCTTTCAAAGCAGAAACGTTGCCAAATAATATTTGTCAGAAACTATATTCATATATAAATTTACATATGATTTCGAATTAAAGAGCTTAATGTTCAGATTATTGGATTTTACCAAAATACACTTATTTCAACAAAAAAACTTAATAATGTCTAACAAATTTTTCTTCACACTTTTAACAGTTAAAGCACACACAATACAACCACAACACTTTTTATGTGTTCGCTTATAACTGTGCATACTGCATGCGCTTATAGCCCTTTCAGCCAGACGCTGCCATACACACACAGCAGCTGTCTAGGCGCCTCACCTTTTTTCGCAGAAAATGCATGCCGAACTACACAACAGCAGACAGCTCACTTCAATGGGCAATTGAACTTAATTTGTTGTTTTCAATATTTTCGAAAATCACAGCACTTTTCAAAACATTTTTACTTGCAAAATTTACTTTGCATAATTTTCACTGGTTCTCCATTTCTATTTGCATAAAATTTCAATTTTTAAATTTCATGCACATTTACACTAAAATTTTTACTTTCGTTTTCTTATTCACTTCCACGGTTTTCCGCTTCACACAAAATTCGCGTATCTTCGCGTCGGTTGCGTTTTGTTTACTGTCGCGCCTCTGCTTCGTATAAGGTTAGTTTCGTCTTAGTGGCAAACACTGGTGGTAGCGCATTTTGGGAGTGACGCTGTCGGCGGTAGAAATTACTCATCCTTTTGGCTGGCAGCGCCCAGCCCCTGTTGTCGGTTGACGTGTCTCGGAAACTAAAGTGGCGCTAAAATGTTGTAAGTGGCGCTGGCGCTGGCAAATGGGTGGTCAGGCGGCAAGCTAATCGGGTGGGCCAGTGAACCGACCGACCATCGAGCCATTGTGTCGTATGTAAAATATGAGTTTGGCTGTTTGTTCGAATTTCCTTGGTAACGCTAGTGCGAATACAATTTGTTTGCGAGCATAGGCTTTTAATTAAGCGCAAAAAGCTTCAAATTAGTGTTTTTCGAATTTTATTTTTTTTGCCAGGCATATCCCTACATGACAGCAGTTATTTGAAGTGACTCTCATATCTATTTTATTAAAGTAGTGTAGGTTTTCTTTCAATTTCGAACTTAAAAAAACTTATTTTATGATATATGTTAAAAAAAATGCCATTGTGTTTAGTGCTAAAAATGCTGTTACAACTCCTATGGTTTCAGTTATGGTAAAAGCAACTCACACTTTCTCCCTTTTTATCTCTCTCATAGTTATTTAATGAACTTCTCGTCAATCAAATTCAATTGGATCATGTCTACTTTTAGGAGTTTTTAATACTTTTTGTTTGGAAATAAATATTGGCTTGTACTTCTCACACGGTTATTGAAAGACACTTGCTAGGCGTAATCATAACTTTAGGCAGCATTATTTTATTTGCATTTCATGAGTGGGTTTGCAGACATTACAATGTTAGTATAATATATGGGAAACATAAACTAATGATCGACTACGACTGATTTGAAAAACTCTTATATTGATGTATTTTAGAAAATAATAGAATAGATATTATTATGATTTTAGACGAATCAACAATACGATATCTTAAATAACATCGTCAGTAAATAAATTTCTTGTTAACATAGTCCTTATAATGTTCTTTTAAATGTCTTTTTACTTTTAGTTACTCATTAGAATGTTCAGTCATTTTTAAAAACTGCATAAACTCATAGATCCGACACTTCTAATTATGGATTTTTATAAATATGCTAAATTACATATTCTTTCTACGGAGGGTATTCATTCTAAAAATAAGAAAAAACTTTAGCTTCGGCTGCATTTCTTATATCTTAGGTTAGGCCGTAGGGTTCATCCAAAATCTATGGATCTCACTTGGACAAATGTTTGTCCGCATTTGAGCTTACCACAAATTTATTAAGTCGATTAATATCAATCTCAGCCATTTCTCTAAGATCTTCAATGTTGTGTCTATTATATTTCAATCTCATTCTGGCAAAAGCCGGGCAATAGAGAAGAAAGTAACAAGGTGACTCAACTTCGACCTGCTCTTTACAGCGTTGGCAAAGAGGCTCCGACAATACATTTACATTTTATATTTGTATACGAAATGCTATATCGATATCTCATAAATTAGGAACTTGGGAGCTACAAGTAGTTTTCGTAAATACATACAGACAGATGGACATGTTTAAATGGGCTCACCTCGTCACACTGATCATTTATATATATTTTATATCGTCTTCGACGATTTTGCAAACTTAATAAACCTTGTTCAAGGTATAATAAGATAAGCGCAAATATTTCTATAAGTTAGCTTCCAAATACTTAATTGTAAAAATCATCACAGAGGGCGCTCAACAGAGAGCATGCGCATTTTCAAAAGCTTACAAGCAACGGCCGGAAAGCTTTTATGTCAATTGAAGTACAAAACAAATAAGTGGAACAATAAATAACAGTTGCATTATAAATTAAGTTAGTTTTGGTTTTTGCATGAAAGTTTGTGAGCACACTGATTTCGATTGCTTTTGTTTTTTGTGGCACAGTCAGAAGTTGAAAAATAATGATCACAGATAATAATATAAATATGAAACTTATGTTAAAGTAATATCAGCATATAATTAGCGCCAACTCAAATTAAGCTTAATAATGCACTCAAAAGGACAAGTTTGCACCTA